TGGTTGGGGGCGGGGGGGGGGGTGCGCTTCCTGCTTTCCTCGCCATCAGCCTCCCCGGGAGGGTGGTACCTGATGTGTCCAGCCCCAAGGAGAGCAGGGACATTTTCTGGTTCCCAGCAGTGTCCTCGGTGCCTCATACAGTGCCTGACACGAAGCAGGCCTTCTGCAAATCCCTGGGGAACGGAAGCCACAGGGTTTTGACCCTCCTCGTCCCCTCTGCCCGGAACTTCCTTTTCCCATTTAACTGCATGGCTCCCTGCATGCTCCGGGGCGCCCTTCTGCGGAAGCACTCCGCAGCCCCCATCTCTACACCGCACCCGTGCCTGGCGAACATGCTAACCCGTGTCAGGGGCATGTGATCAGCCACACGGTGGAGGAAATTCTGTCTACAGAACACGTCACTGTGGTCTTAAACAAGGAGAAAGGAAGGAACAAAAAAAAAGAGTGAAGAGAGGCTGTTACAGGTTGATACATATCAACCCAATGCAATGTGTGGACCTTAGATCCTGATTCAAACAAACCAGCTGTAAAATGACATCCACGAAGAGTCCTGGAGGTTGGCTGCACAATGTGGATGTACTTACTACTCAACTGCGCACTCGAGAGTGGTTAAGGTGGTATATTTTATGTGTGTGTCACCACAATTTTAAAAACTTTTTAAAGATACTCATGGACCAATTGGGGAATGTGAACACTGACTATATATTAGATGACATTAAGGGATTATTAATTTTTAAATTGTGACACTGATATGAACAGAGTCTTCATCTCTTAGAGATACAAACGGACCTATTGACAGATAAAATGATATAATCTCGGGGATTTGCTTGAAAACAACTCATTAGGAAAGGAGATGTGCGGAGATGCAGATGAACCAAATTGGCCATATTTGTTGAAGCTGGATACATGGATGTTCTTTAGGCCAGTCTCCCTTTTTCCTTCGGGTGTGTTTGAAAATGTCCATGATCAAAAAACAAAAATAGTGAAAAATAAAAATAAATAGTAGAGCCCTTCCATGAAGCCTCGGTTTTTTCCCGGTGGGCCATACCAAAAGCTTGTCTCCCGTGGGGCGGGGGCGCCGGGGGAGCAGGGCTGTCTCCCCTGTTCACACTGCGTGTTCATGTTGTGTGTTCATGCTGCGTGTTCACGCTGCGTGTTCACGGCTGCGTGCCCCTGGCTGTACTCCCAGCTCCTGGAGCAGCGTGTATCTCTCAGCCTGCTCGCTGCTGTGGGCCTGTGCCCGCATGGCCTGTTGAGCCTGAGGGCCAAACCACTGTCTGCACACAGTTGTCTTGACCAGTCCTGACCCTGGAGGACCATGGGCGAGTCTCTCAGAGGCCAGCTGCTCACCCATGAAGATGTGGTTGCCGTGGTGGGCACGCAGACTTAACCCAGGTCAGGGAGAGGAAGTCGGGGGACAAGGCAGGGTCTGGGTAGGAGAAGCACCCCCCCATGCCCTGCTCCCTGGAGTGGCCCAAGCTCACGTGGACACCACGGTACCAGTCACTGCTTTTGTAGCCTCCAAACACCGAGCCCAGCCTGAGCCAGGGTCACAGGTCGCTGAGGGAGGCCGGGGTCAGCAGGCAGGGCCACCCGGGGCCCAGGAGCCAGCTTCTGGGGAAGCGGGGCAGCAGGGGAGCAGGTCTGCCTCCACCCTCAAAGCCCTCAGCTTGGCCCGCAACCATTGTCACCCGGGACAGGTGAGCTGAGCACCCTTCCGTGTCTGCACTGAGCCTTTCCAGTTGGAACTGCCAGGCACAGGGCATGCTCCCAGCAGGTGTCAGCACCTGGGGCCTTCTGGAAATCGGGATGATGAGGGCACCCAGCCCCACCGTCAGAGTGCTGGAGCTGGGGCGCTGCTGCTGCGTGTTAGCCATAGTGCTTCCTGTCTCCCTCCCGAGCCCACTCCCGCCCCGCCCCCTGAACCTGCGGGGTGGGGGGGAGCCTGGGCTCTCACGGGAAGACGTCAAGTCTTCCCAAAGCAGAACCAGCCACACGGTGCGGAAGACAACAGCTCTGGAGTCAGACCTGGGCTCGGCCTGGCTCTGCTCCTTTATGGGCGATGGAATGTCAGGCAACCTCCCTGGTTTGTCTTTCAGTGCCCCCGCTGCCTCACCCATAAACAGGCCCAGTGAGGGGCGACCCACAGTGGAGAGCAGGGCGAGCATCCTGTCCGGACTCCGCAGTTCTAGCCCAGCACCTGCTCACGGGTGTCTTCATTCGTGTTTGTGGAATCTGACCCACAGGGTGGCGGCCCGCTGGCCCCTTGTTGCTCTCACTTCTTGAGCCTCCTAAGTGTGGAGCCCGAGAAGACTGGAGGCGTTGCCATTGGTGCTGGGGAGGCCAGAAGGCCTGCTCTTCTTCCTTTCCTGGAGGCTGGAGTGTTCTGTGCAAGGCACGATGACAATGCTGCTCCCCGTAAGGGCAGAGGGACTCACCGGATTCCACGCGAAGGCTCTGGGTCGAGGTAGCTGGTTCCAGGAGGTGGGAAAACAGACACCGGGGTGCAGTGGCGCCGCCTTACCTGTCCCCTCACCTCCCTGCTTGTGCTGCCTTGGGGAGGTCTGCCGGGCGCCCCTCCCCACCGGAAGCAGAGAGGCTGCTCTCCCACCAGGGATGCGCTCCTGCCCCAGCCCCGCAGCCCCCTGCCTACCTCAGGGCTTATAGGACTTCGCAGTTTGCAAAGGGCCTGCGGTGCCATCATTTGAGCCATGCAGCAGCCCAGCTGTGCGGGGTGGGGTGGGGGGCGACTTCCGCATTTTATGCGGGGGAGGGAGGTCTGACTGGAGGAGCCAAAGAGCCTGGGCCAGACCAGTGATGCAACCGGGGCGCTGCCCAGGGGCCCAGCCAGTGTCCCCCTCCCCAAACACACCCTTACACACTAGTAAGGAGGTGGCCAGCTTCAGACCACCAAGGAGCCCTGGGGACTAGGGGCGGGGGTGTCGGGGGTCAGGGGCAGCGGCACCCTCTCGTCCCGCCCCCCTCACTCCACGCTGTGGTTGGCCCTCACCACACCAGCTCTGGGCGGTGCTGATATCTGCGTGAGAGGCTTTCTTGGTGTCCCAGGATGGAGGCTACTGGCTAGGTGGGGGGCCCCAGGCAATCGGTCACCTACATTCAGAAACTTCCCTCTGCACTCCAGGTGGACTCATGCCCTTGGCTCCACGCTCGCCCCTTCTCCCTGGAAGCCCGGAGGTGCCCAGTGGCCGCTCTGAGCCACACACGCTCATACAGTCGCAGCGGTCCTGGCCGAGGCTGGGCAGACCCCTGCCAGTGGGGTGTGGGGCTGAAGTCATGGAATGTCTGATGTCACTGTGGCAGCCACCCTATGCAGAGAACTGTACTCCAGGGACCAGCTTAGGCTGACAAATGTCGCATACATTTATCGAGCACCTACTACTAGGTGCCAGGACCTATGCAGGGCCCTAGAAAAAGGAAGTCACTGAAACCTAGCCCCTCCCAGGAAGGAGCTCACAGTCTGGGGGTGCTAAACCATCAGTTAATATTAACAACAGTGAAGGTGCACCAACTTCATGCTTTTATAGCGAGCTGGTCTATGCGTTTTCTCAACTGTGAAGACCCAGCAACACAGCCACGTTGTTTAAAAGCACATTGGCATCAATGTAAACAGTCACACGACTGAAAGGATGAATAGTAATCAACGGCAATAATTCATATTCCTGTTTCAGAGCCAGGTTTTCAGCATCACGCGGTCCCCTGAGGGAGGATTCAAATCTCGCCAGCCTGCACAAACCGGGGCCGCCACCCAGGAGCTCCAGGGCCCGCCCCGACATCACTGCACACAGGGGGTCCTGCACCGAGGCCGCTGCCTCCTCGCCACTGCACAGCACTAGTCTTCTCATCTTGCTGGACCAGGGCTCCCCACATCCTTGGGCTCTGAGTAAGGCTGACGGGGAAAGGACCACGTCCTGTGAGTCCACCGCGCTGAGATCACTAAGGTCCTCTTTGGCTCATCCTGGCCCCGGGTGACACCAGCTCACATAAGCACAGCGCACTCACCATGGGTTGAGAGACTGGCTTCTGGGTGGTCTCAAAGCCTGGCCGAGTGGGTGTCACACGGGAGCCACTGCCTTGGAGTCCTGGCTGTGCCCCGCTCCCTGCACACTCAGGATTTATCAGGAGCAGATGGGGCGGCTACTCTGTTTATCCCACTTGTCCCTGGGTTCTGAACAGGACAGCGCTGTGTGGGGTCTGAGAGGGACTCCCTATCCCCAAAGGGGAAACAAACCCTCACGATGACCCAGCCTGTTCCTTTCGGACGGCAAGGAACCTGGTGAGAGGCCCCAAGTGGGCCAGCTCCTGGTCTGGGAAATGGGAAACCAGGCAAAGGCTCGGGTTTAAGAAAACCAAGGAGAGGATAGGACTGTTCGGCTGAGCATCCCGCGCAGAACAGCTGAAGGCGGGGCTGCACTGAGGACACCGCTCCCTCATGGGGCGGGGAGGGGGGCATCTCCGCCGCTGCAGGCTGGCTGCACCCATTTCACTTCTGAGAGGTCAAGTCTCAGCTCCTAGGGTGCGAGAGTCCCTGGGCACCTGCCGCGGTGGCCTCCCTTAGACAGTGGCCTGTCAGGTGAGTCAGAAAGTACAAGTTAAAGAGTGGGTGTTTCTACCCTGTTTCCAGGGCAGGGGGAGGGGAAGGCGTGAGGTGCTTCTCTGTGACAGACACGGGGCCACTGGCCCAACAGAGCCTGTCCAGCCCAGCTCCACCCTCTGGATGGGGGCCTTTCTGGCTCCCACACAGGAGAGCCCTCCAGCCCCCAGCCCCTCAAGGTCACTCCAGGGGGACACACATCCTGCAAGCACGTCCCTTCCCCCAGTGATGGCCCAGACAGAACTCTTTTAATAAAAAAAAATAATTTATTGTCAACAAAGGAGATATTTACAACAGGAAAACAGGAGAAAAGGAGCGGGAGTGAATGAAGCCCCCTCCCCTGGGGCTGCTCGGCCCCCTGCGACGGCGGAGCGGGAAGAGGTAATGGAGGCCTCCTGGCTTAGGAGCCTGAACAGGTGGGGGAAGAGAGGTGTCCCCCGAGGTAGCGGGACTCAGCTCAAACCCCGTGATGACCACCTCCTTCTACTGTAAGGCACTGTGCCGAGGGAGACTGGTGGGGGCTGGGAGGGGCGGGGAGGGGTCAGGGGACAGAGAGGTCTGAGTAAGCAAAAGGACAGGTGTTCTCCCCAGGCCCAGTGCCCTACCACACGGCAGCCTCAGCCACCCCTGCCCAACTCGCTGGGCAGACGGGTTTCTGTGCCCCTGGCGAACAGCGGGTGCTGCCCCCTTCCTCTCCTCCACCCTGCCTTGGCACCTGGTTTTACTCTGCATCAGGTGGCAGAGCAGGCAGCTCTGAGATGCCCAAAGGGACACCGCCTCCTCCACCCTCTTCCCCGGGAGAGCGGGAACCTACGCACCACGCCCTGCCCTTGCTGCCCCCAACAGGGGCGCTAGGTTCCCACAGAACCGCGGGCCAGTCGGGGCTGTCACCTGCTCCCGCACCCTTGGTCCCCGGGGGATGCCTGGACCAGTCGTGCAGCAGGCTGACTGCCGGGGGCTCCTCCATCCACGCGGATAACCTGCAGGTCCAGCGTCCCGCGAAGCCCCGGAGGGGGACCTGCGCAGAGAGCAGAGTCAGGGCCCTCCGGACACCCCACCTCGAGGACGTTCCTGAAGGCGCCTGCAAACCACACCCTCATTCCCAGGGCCTGGTGCGAGCAGAAGCCAAACTGAGCAAATTCTGCCTTCTGCTCACAGAAGCAGGGCTGTGTCCCTGATAAACTATAAGCTCCTTGAAGGCTGGGTGAATCTCTCTCCTTCGCTCCTCAATTCAACAGTAACCCACTGAGGCTACTACACTGTGTCCAAGGGGTTCCAGTCGCTGGGGGTACAGCACTGTATGGAGCAGAGCAAGTGGCTTCCGTGGAGTTTATGTTCCAGTGGTGACACATAGGGAGAAGCAAAGGAAAAAACTACGCCAGGGAAGGGGATAGGGCAGGTCTCACGAGACTGACGTGTGAACACAGGTGGACAGGACGTGAGGACTCAGCGATGTCAGGGGCGGGGGGAGGGCTGCATTCCAGGGGAGGAAGACTGGCTGAGCGCGCCTACTGGCAGCAGGCACAGCAAGGCCAGGGAGAGGGTGGCGGGGCCAGGGAGAGATCCAGGGGTGAGGATCACATCACCAGGTGGACTCTTGCTTTTATCTGCAGAGTGACGGACTGGCACAAAAGGACGGAGCAGAGCAGGAACAGGGTAAGACTCGGGTTTTCAGTAGGGACACTAGTTGCTGTATGAGACCCGACCGCAGGGGTTAAAGATAAGAAGCCAGAGACTAGGTAAAAGGCTGTACGGGAGGCCAGAGACAGCTTGGCCTCGGGTGGCTGCAGTAGAGGTGGTGCCTGGGAGGAGAGTTCTGGACACATTTGGAGGTGGGGCCAACAGCTTTGCCGATTAACTGACTGATGCGGGATGTGAGAGGGACAAGAAGATGACTTTGAGGATTTCACCCAAACACAAGGATGAGGCGGCCAGTTTCCTCAGAAAGAGGACCTGGGAAGAGCGGATTGGTTGGGAGTGTGGGGAAGAGGCTGTGGGCTCCATTTGGATATGGCCGCAGGGCCCTCAGACACCCCACCACGAGGCTGTTCCCTGAAGGTCTCCGCAAACCACTCTCCCACATGATGGCCATATGGACTAAGGAGTGAGGGCTCACTAAGTTAGAGACCTCCCAAAACAATGGAACTAAGAGCCAATTCCTCCTGGAAGTCAGGTCAGAGGGGTAGGGGTGGGGGCAGGGAGGGAAGGGAGCATCAGGGATGTGGCAGAGGCGCCCTTCCAGAAATGGAGCGATCAGAGCCCCGGGCGGTGGAAGAGGAGGACCGGAGGGCGCGCCAGTTGGCCGAGCCTTCAGCGTCCCAGCGCCACACCCTATTCCCTCCTCGCCGGGCCCACCCCCTGCCTTCGTCATTGTGAGCTTGGTGCGCGCGCACGCACACGCACACGCACAGACGTACGCACGCATGCGCGCCTTCTCTGGGGCGGCGGCCCGAGCCTATTTCTCTTCTCATCAAAGCTTTTCTCTGAGTAGCAGCTCTGGCAGTGTTACCACCAAAATGACAGGTGATGGTGGCTACCACCCACTCATCTCTCAGTAAGTCGTTACTATGGACTTTCTTTGCACCAGGCACTGTCCCAGGTGCCAAGGACACAGTGGTGAACCAAGACCCTGACCCTCAAGAAACTCACATGCTCTCTCACACACATGCACGCACGGCACACTCTCTTCTTTCTCTTTGGTTCAGTCTGGGAGCACGCTGGGTCCGACCAAGGTATCCTAAGCCAGATCTCTAGGTGCTACTCAAATGAATCACCACCAGCAAGACAAGGATGCTCTTTTCCCCACTATGTGTGAGTGGACCCTGAGGACCACGTTCTCTTCTGGCCGGGGCACCCTCCTCACCTTCATCCTGCAAGGCCTTTGGAAAGTCCCAGAAAGTCTTTTCTGACTGCTTCAAACGACATCCATCAGCTCGGGTGACCTGACCACAGAGAACTTTTCCCACTTCTAAATCCTTGATTTTTAAACTTTTAAAAGTGGTAGTATCTTTATTCAAATAAAATCTTCAGAGAACTTGAATGTATAAAACAAACTCAAAGTGGAGACATTCCGGTTGAAGCCTCGCAGGTTTCTGAGAAATCCATCCGAGCTCTGAGATCCTCAAACAGCTTGAAACCACTGGCCTGGCGCCTTCACACTGCACAGGACCAGCGTGGGTGGCCAGCTATTCTCCATCCGCTTCGCTGCCTCTGACCTGTACCCCCAGACAGACTACGAGCTTCTTGGGGACCATGGCCGCCTCACTCATGTCATTTTCCGGAGTGCTTCGCTCGGGGGCTGGGCTGCTGGGATACTTGCTGTTGCACTGTTTAGTGCCTCCTGCGGCTTCCGGGCCACGTCCGACCTTCTCAGATCCTGCCACCGCCAAGAACGGCTGTCAGTCCCCTCCATCCCTCTCGCGCCATTCAATCAGTTGAACCCTAAAGCCTCAGGCTTTTCCCACTCACCCCAAAGGGACCTGAGATCTCGGGGATTCCCTTTGCAGCTATTCACTGCTCCAGACAGGCGGAGTTTGGGCGCACGCTACCCCAGGGCTCAAAATGAAGGCTCTCTTTTGAGAATGAAAGCAGATGACCCATTGAACAGCGGAAGAGGCCAGCCGTCTGCAGCAGAGATCTGCCGAAGACAGCGAGGAGGCTCGGAAATGCTCAAGCCCAAGCAGAGCACAGGCCCAGGGCGGCAGGGCTGGAATGTAACTCAAGCTGAAACTTGAGAAAGTTAAAACCACGATCTACAGAAGGGATGAGGCCTGCCTCGAGATCAGAAAAAGTGGAGCCCATTTCGGCACAAAACGGAGCAGCGCACACAGGAACGTACACGCACAGAGCTCTGGGAGAGTCTGCAGCATACAAAGCAAGTGACTGAGCAGTCACCGCTGGTGAGTGACATGCGCCACAGAAGCAGCGTGTTTGCTTTTCTCTTGCGCGTGCCATCTTTCTCGGGCTCTAACTCCAGATGCTCATTTCAGACAGGCCGGGACGAGGCACTCCCTGGGTCACTCATTCCAAGAGCGATTTCCTGAGCCCGAGATGCTGTGAGCAGTGCCCAGCACAGCAAGACGAAGAGGGGAAGCGGGCTCGGCCTCTGCCCTCCTGGAACGCGTTCTAGCCTCCCCTGCATCCTGCCACTGCTTGACTACATGACCAAGGTAGGCAGAGCACCCACCCCCTAAAGATGCCTGCGCCCCAGTTCCCAGGACTCATTGACATAGTACGGTCCACGGCAAGGGAGAACTGAGGCTATGGAAGGAATTAAGGTGCCTGTCAGCTGATGAAAATAGACCTTCACTGGATGATCTGGGTGGGCTCTCCAGTCATGAGGGTCCTACGTGGGAAAGAGGGAGGCAGGAGATTCAGGCAAAGATGGCATCCTGAGAAAGGCCCTGCTGGCCACCGTGGGCTTTGAAAACAGAAGGGCACGAAGCAAGGACCACGGCAGGCCTCTAGAAGCTGGAAAAGGCAAGACAAAGGGTCCCCTCTCCCCACCAGAGCCTCCAGAAGCAACGTGGGCTGCAGACACCTTGGCATATTTTAGCCCGGTGAGACCTTTGACCTCCAGGACTAAAAAATAACATGTCCGTGTTGTCGTAAGCCACTAAGGTTGTGGTAGCTTGTCACAGCAGCCATAAGAAACAAATAAAAGCACCACGGGAAATCCTCTCTGGGAATCCTCCCTGGAAAAGACACTTTCGTAAGGACCAAGTGAACTGCGTATGTAAGTTTCTTAAAATCGGTAGGACATGCTACAAAAGCGCGCTTACTGTTAATCTTCGGCCACTCCCTGAGCCGCTCTGCCTGCAGAGGTGTCTGCTGAGCGTTCACCTGTCTCCCATCAAGGGTCCCACATGGGCCCCTGTTCCACCAGGGCAAGGTGGGCACCACTTGCAGGCTCCAGCTGCATTCAAACTTTGGGGAGCACTGACCTAGTCCAACCTAATGACCATTCCGGGACACGTCTATGGACCTGCCCATAACCAACCCCTGTCCTTCAAACCTGCCTGCCCCAGACCCCGCCTTCCAGGGGATGCAAGTGCCAGCTTCTCAAGGAGCAGCCTCAAGGAGGCCGGAGCCCAGGGATGCAGGCTGCCTGATGCCCCGGCCGTCTCCTCTCAGGGGCTCACCTGGAGAGGGGCTTTCCGGCTGCGGAAGGCCTCCTGCGGCTGCCGGCCCCTCTTTGGGCGAGTCCCTGCTGTCTGAGGTCCTTAGCTGGGTGTGGGAAAAGAGCTGGAGGACGAAGCCGGGAGGGAAGGTGCCGTCGGTGAAGTGTCGGACCTCGGTGGGAGCCGCGAAAGTCTCTGTGGGTGAGTCAGGTGATGGGGGGTCTGGAAGAAGGGACAGAAGGGAACGGTGAGTGCAGACTCCAAAGGCCTGAGCACCACTGGGATGAGGCACAGGTGCCCTCGGCTTTCCTCCGGGAGGGCCACGGCCAGAGCCCCCACCCAGGGCTCCCCCTCCACCTGGGTCAGGGTCTGGGTCCAGGTCCAGGCTTTTGGTCATGGATCTGCCTCTTTTCTTTCTGACTGGCTCTTCCTCAGGGGGCTCCCTCCATCTCTGACCACGGGGCTTCTTATTTACTGGCTCTGTGGGAGGGGCAGCTGCAAAAGAAGCAAAGGTCTCAAACCTTTTTAGGGGAACATGCCTGAACCCCACAACCTTGGGGTTGCTGAAGCTCCGTACCCAGTGACCTCCCCGCCCAGAACACAGTCCTGTGCCCCCTCCTCCCCCCAACTCAGCCTCACTGGCTCCCCCACGACTAACCAGGAAGCTCAAGGGGGCGGAGTCCCCTGGGCCTCGTCCTTCTAGGGAGGGAGGTGCTGTCCTCAGAGTCAAGGAGAACGACAATCTCTGCTGGCATCCTGGCGGGGTCTGGAGCGGAGTCGGGGTCTGCGCTGACATCCTGGCCCGAGTCTGAAGGGGGCGATTGCCCCGTGAGCTCCACACGTGTGCTCCCATGGGTCCGCTTTTCTCCCACCCCCACCCCAGGCCCAACTACCTGAGTTGGGCGGGGATGGCTGCTCAGCTCTGACATCTTGCAAAAGGGCCACGCCTTCGCTCCAGGCCTCCAGGATGTTGCTCTTCTCAGAAGGGCTCAGGTCCAGGGTATGAGGATGCTGCTCCAGGATGTGCGCGCGCGCCGTGTCCGCCGAGGGGAAGCAGATCTCCGCCCCGCACACCATGCACAGCGTCCGTCCGCTGCCTCCTGGGCTGTTCCCCACCAGGAACTCCTGCTCCCAAGACACCTGCTGCCTGGGCTCCTCACAGCTGTTGCCGCCCGCCTCCAGCAGGCTGGGCCTAGGCGGTGGGGTCTTCTCCTGGTGGGCCACTGTGGAGGGAGAGGAGGGGGCGGTGCTATCAGCGAAGATGCCCGTGGCCAATACTTAGAACCCAAGTCCCCAAACTTGGTGGTGTGGGGTGGCGGGGGAGCACCCCCACTGTAAAAAAAATTGAGCGGATGGGGCTGGTGCTACCACCCCAGAGGAAAGGCCTTGTGCGTTCTAGGCCTCAAACCTCTGGAATGTCAGAAAGGGCAAGAAAACCTCTCGACTGGGCCTAAAGAAGCACTGTGTCCTAAAGAAATGTCTGCAAAGATAACAGAAAGGCAGATACGATGGCCACCAGACTGATGGCTGCCGAACTGAAAATTAAAAAACATTCTTTAGAATTTGCACCACTCTTTAGCTTATATGCACCCATAGAAATGCCTTCCATCTATTGAGGTAATCGTTCCCTTTCCCTTCCTCATAAATATCCCTTGAAGTGTTTCCTAATTGGAATACTTCAGGGGTGGACAGAAATAGGATAATGATAATAATAAATAATACAATGACTCATAATAGACAAACAATAATGCGAGAATAAACTCTACGTTTTGCACTCACATCATCCCCATCGGTGGGCCTGGCACCTGTCCTTTGTGCACATGGACCATAAGTTGCTGAGGCAGGAGCTCTTTGCGGCTCGGCAACGGCAGGCAGCTCAGGGCTGTGCAGGGTGCCCATGATTCCTCGTGGGTACATCTTTTTCCCACGTGAGAGGATGGGGCAAAATACAAACATGGGAGGCCCTAATAGCTGCGGGCTGTAGGGAAGAGATGGCCTTTGAAATGGACAAGAATTGGCTTAGACTCAGAAGATCGAGGTCCAAAGCTGGGTTGTACCTACCTCCCAAGGGCGACCAAAGGCTGGAACCTTGGCCCCACAGGGCAGCCAGGCTTTCTTTCCACTACTTGTCCAAAACAGCTCTCATTCAGATCACCAATGTCAAACCCAGCAGTCAGTTCTTAAAACTCATCTTCTGACCAATCACTTCTACCATCTTGATTTTTGTCACTAAGCTTCCAGGCTACCATCTTCTGCTGGTTCTTCTTCCTTCACTGGCGCTCCCTCTCAGTCACCTATGCCAATTCCTCATTTCATTTTTCTCCCTCATCTCCTCTTCTCAGGTACTTGCATGGCTCCCTCACCTCTTCCAGGTCGTTGCTAAAGAGCCACACCTTCACCATGGCCTTCTGGGCTACTTGTAGAAAGCTGCCACCCGCCCTTCCTGAGGGCTCCACCCCCCTTCGCTACTTCATTTCCTCCACAGCACCTGTCACCCCGACATAATGTATGCTCTGCTTGTTCCTGTCTCCCTAGCACACTGGGGGCTAGCTCCATGACAGTACGGACTTTTGATCCCTCATACCTGTATGTCCAGCACGAAGAACAGTGCCCAGCGTGTGGTGGCACTCAGAAACATCTGAGGAGGGACTGACTCCACCTCCAGTGCGGCATCACCGGAGGATGCCATGACTCTGTCCTCGGACCCCTTCTCTGTCTACCCCCTTCCTCTCATGGTCTTGTCCCACCGCCTGCCCACTGACAACGCCCGTATTTACATCTTCAGCCACACTCTCCCGTGAAATCTAGACTCGTGTCTAACTTCCTATCTGACCGCCTGGATGTGCCACATCTCAAATCCACCACGTGCCACCTGGAACTCCCGACCTCCCCATGCCTGTACTGCAGGCTGCCCGCCTCTGCAAGCGGGATGCCCGCCCTTCCTGTTGCTCAGACCCAAACCTTGCACCCATCCTTTTTTCTCTCCCACCCCCAAACTTTTCAAGAAGCTTCTTGCTTCAGGACCTTTGTACTTGTGTTTCTCTCTAAAATGCTTTCCCTCCACTTCTCAGCGAGGTTCACTCGGGCACTTCCTTTGGATCTCTGCTCAAATTCCACCTTATTAGAGAAGTCTTTCCTTGTGACACCAAATAAAACACCGCACTCTTTCTCCCTTAGTTGCTTTAGTGTTCTCAGGGCCCCTTATTGCTACCTCGCACACTATGCTCACCACGGTTGTCTGCCTTTGGTCATGTGTGTGTATGTGTGTATTCCAGAAGGGCAGAGTGTCATCTTTGTTTATGACCACCAGCATGCCCAGCCTAAATCAGTGCCTGCCACAGATAGGGCTTCTTTGGACTTCTAGTTCCTCATCCCCGACAGTGGGGAAGAAGGCCACTCTTGCAGGTTGTTGAAAGGACGGAGACAGCCTTGCGTGGAGCCCTCAACACACGAGCAGAAGTCAGAAAGAATCTCTGCGCTTTGAGAGCTGAGAAGGAGCGCTCGCTTGGCTCTTTCCCTCTCTCACTTTCTAACCCTCCTGATTCTGAGGGCAGGAAGCAGCGCAGGCAGGCGTGACTTTTCCCTGGTAGTAAAAATGAATGGATTTACTCTCTACCTCTTTAGGGTGCTTTCCTTCGAAAGACAAGAGGTATCTGAGAGTGAAAAGATATTTGCATTTCCATGACTAGCACTTCTTCCATTCAGGTGGCCCTTTGTTTCCTCAGGGTCTGCAAGGTCCTGAGGACTGAAGAAATTGGTGAAAGGGGAGGGGAAGCGTGTGTTCCTAGACCTTCCTCAAATCCCCTCGCTTGGCCCATCTCCCTCCTCAGCAAGCCCTTCTCTTCCAAAACCGGGTGCTGTAAGCAAACCCATTCACCCCTGAAGCTCTAGAATCTGACACCTGTGGCTTGTGCAAGTGGAAGGCCTAGAAATGGAAGGAGGGACTGGAAACCTTTATGCACGGAGAGTCCTTAAAAGCCTCTTGGCGGGAGGCAGCGGCGCCTGCCTCCATTCTCCGAACTGCTCTGGACACCAGGCTGCCGCGCCCAGTCTCGGGCCTGGAGGCCCTGCCGCCCCTCGGCCTGAAACACAGCCTGGCTACTGGGCCTGCCTCCACTCCGCGGGGCGGGAGACCGCGGCCGCAGACGGCCGGTGTCCCCGGGGATCTGGCCGCGGGTGCGGGGCCCCGGAGTGGCGGTGCTCGGGCACAAGAAGGTCCTGAGCGCGGCGGGCGTGGATCGAAGGCTCCAGACCTTGGGCGGGGGAGGGGGGAATTCGGGAGGCCTGAGATTCCAAACCCGGGTGGGGGCGGGGCAAGAGCGCACCCGGGCCCAAACAGAACCGGGGCGGGGGGTGAGCCCCACACCCAGGAAAGGCAGAGGGTGCCCGGGCCCCTAAGGGGCGGGGAGCAAGCACGAGCCCCCCGATAGTGACGCGGAAGTGGGGTCGCCTCCCATCCTCACCTCTGAGCATCGGCTCGGGCCGCGGAATTACGGCCACCACCACGGCCTCCTCCTCGTCCTCCCCTTCCTCGCATTTGAGTGTCACCTCGAAGCAGTCGAGTGCGGCGCCTTCGGCCTTCAGGGCCATGGTGCGGCCGGGGATGTCGCGGCGACCCGACGCTGGAGGACCCGCGCGCAGGCCTTGGGCGCTCAGCCACTTCCCACCCGCACCGCCCCCTCCCCGCCGCTCCTCGCCCCCTCCCCGCCGCCCGCCGGACCTGCGACGGGCGCGTTCGGGCCTCCCCGAGACCTGGAGTGTCGGGACCCCGGGCGGGGAGGGCTCAATCCGGGGCCCCAGCCCCCCGCCGTTCCCTTTTATGGAGCCTCATTGTCGGCGCCCGCCGAGCCGGCCCGCCACGGGCCCGCCCCCAAACTCGGCGCGGCCAATCGAGCGCGGCTCCGCCCCGCGCACGCGGCTCCGTTAGGATCCCAGGACCCGCCGGGCGGCGCGAAGGGCCCGCGGACTCCCGGAGACACCTCATCGCCGGGACAGGAAGGGAGGACCCCAGCCTCACCCGGGAGGGGTCGTCCTGAACCGGCTGGCCGAGCCAGCTGGGTCGCCCTCCGTTGAGATGCTAATCGGGTACATTTTGCTGGCGCGAAGAGTCCCTTTTCCCTTTCCCTGACCGAAGCTCCCTCCGCTAGAAGATTCCCGCGGCGGGAAAAGAACGTGTAGGGGAGTGGAAAGGGTCTTGGCGTGGGAAGAGTGGAGGCGGAATTACTTCCGATCTGCCAGCTACGTGATCTTGGACACGTTTTCTCTTAGATTCTTAATACTTTCTTTGGAAAAACATCGGGGAGCCTCTGGATAAGGGCATGCAAAGATGAAGAGCCAAGTGGAGTGTGGGCGTATGAAAACTATCCCTAAAGAGTATGATTTCCAGTTTTAATGTATTTTTAAAATTTTTTATTATAATTTATTTGATCCAGAGGAAACGCCTGGAAGCAAGATCTCAAGATACTGAGATAAATACTTCCTCTGATTTCTAGTTTTTTGGTTTAAGATATTATTTATTTATAGAGTGAGGGGAAGAGAAACATCTCTGTGAGAGAAAAACATGATTGGTTGTCTCTTGTGCCATTCCCCATCGGTGACAAACTTGCAACTCAGGCATGTGCCCTGGCAGGGAATGGCACCTGTGACCTTGCCATTTACAGGACTACACCCAACCAACTGAGCGACGCGGGTCAGTGCTCATTTCCAGTCTTTTAAAGTGAGTCCAGAAATTGTGACCCTCCCAAGGTTACACAGAAGTTCTTGAGAGCCCCAAGACCAGAGTCCATTTGCCACAACACCGCAGCATTACGCTCCCGTGCCTGAGCTTTCACCTCTGAGACAAGATTATAATGGGGCTGAAAAGTTCCTGTAGCCTAAGGACCTCACAGTGGTAGCACTTTCTGAAAAGAGTGATGCTTGCTCAAGAGGAGCCTCAGGCAGGTCCTTCAGGAGGTGTTCCAGAAGAAGCATGGTCATCCCAGGAGATGGCAGCTTCTTGCCTGTTACTGCCCTTGAAGACCTTCCAGTGCGAAAAGAGGTGGAAGAGGGTGCTGAATAGGTCTAGGCTAATGTGTGTGTTTGTGTCCTAGTTTTTAACCAAAAAGTTTAAAAAGTAAAACAAATCTTTAAAATTTAAATGGAAAATAGCTTAGGAAATAGTTTTGCATAGCTGTACGATGTGTTGTGTTTTAAGAAAACGTTCTTAATTATTTTTAGAGACAGGGAAAGGAGAGAGAAGGAGAGGGAGAGAAAGATCAATGTATGAAGAGAAACTTCAGTCGGTTGCCTCTCGCACGCGCCCCGCCCCCCGCCCCCCGCCCCCCGCCCCCCGAACTAGGGCCGCAACCCAGGCCTGTGCCCTGACTGGGGATCAAACTGGTGACCTTTTGGTTTGCAGGCCGGTGTGTAATCCACTGAGCCACAGCAGCCAGGGTAATTTTGTAGCTTTCAAGGGTTTAACTAATTTCTACTTAAGGGTCATCCTTTACCCTTTGTGACTGATTCCTCCCCAGCCCTTCTGCTCTTTTTTGCATTGCCCTCCAAGGTGGAGTTTCTCAGGCTTCTAGGACAGCCGACTTCACGCCTGGGTTTGGCCAATGGGAGACAGTGGCAGGAGACAGGAAGGTAAGAAGAAAAAAATCCAGGCTATTTCTTGTCTTCCTCTCTCCTTCTGGCTCAGGCAGCCCTCCAGGAGCGGATGAGACTCCTCTGCGGTCGCAGCTCCTGCAGGACGGCTGCTGTGGCCCCAGCACACGTGGGCTCCCTTAAGCGCGTCCCCTCTGTTGGTCCCTCCAGTTTAGGAGAGTGGGTAACTTCTTGTTCTTGCTAATCGCTGGGTCACCACATGGCTCCCCCTTGGGCTTCTTGGCCCTTCCACCAGCCTGGTTGCTGCTGGTGTCACCAATAGTATTAAATGATCCATTTTACATACTTCGAGTGGTTCTTGTTTTCCTGGTTGAACACTGAGTGAGACACCCAGTATGATACCAGGCACTTGATACACACAGTCGCTTAGTCCTCACAAGTCTTATGTGGTAGATTGTATTGTTCCCATTTTATAAAGCAGGAAGTTGAGGGTTAAAAGGTTAAATTGTTTGCCCAAGGTGACACAACAAGAATCCTATTTCATCAAATCTAAGATGAACATTTCCCCCCACATTTTGCCAGCTCCGAAATGAGGGTGGTTTCTATAATGGACATCAGTGTGAAGTTTTAGGAATATCAAGAAAGTGAAAGGTGGTCCTTCTGATAGATAGTATGATATGGTGACTTATAAGAAATATATATTTGGGCCATAGCTGATGTGGCTCAGTGGATTGAGCGCCTGCCTGCAAACCAAAAGGTCGCGTGTTCCGTTCCCAGTGTAGGGCACATGCCAGGGTTGCAGGCCAGGTCCCCAGCAGGGGGCATGCGAGAGGCAACCACACGTTGCTGTTTCTTTTCCTCTCCCCCTCCTTTCCCTTTTCTAAAAATAAATAAATAAGATCTTTAAATAGAAAAAAAAAGAAATAGATATTTGGTCAAAATATATTCCTCATATGCAGGGTGGGGAAAAAGTAGTTTTACAGTTATGAGTACACAAAATACAGAGTTTATTCTTGCGTTATTATTCATTAATTCTTGTGTTATCTTCCACATGAACAACAGTAAACTTACTTTTGCCCCACCCTGTAGATTAGGTTCCAGGCTCCCAAAACTCTGGGAATTTCCTAAGAGTTGAGAATGATAAAAGTGTCTTTTGTTGTGTGAATGAAGTGACTTTCGGACCCCTCCCAAGGGTGGGACTGGTTGCCCACAGCAGACCACCAACTGGTTAGAGGATTGGAGTTTTCAGTCCCCACACCCTGCTGTCCAGGAAAGGGGGAGGGGCTTGAGGTTGAATCAGTTGCCAAGTGTCAGTGACTTAGTCAATCCAATGAACCCTCCCTTAAGACCCAAAAGGACATCTTGTCAGCCCTTATTTAGAGAGCTTCTACGTTGGGGAACCAGAGCGCTTCCACATGCCACTTGGGGCAGGGTCCCAAGCTCCAGGGGGACCGCAGCTCCTTTGTTTAGGACCTCACCCTATGAATCTCTTCATCTGGCTGTTGGTGTGTGTCCTTTAATATTCTTTGTAATAAATCGTTAATCTAGAGAGTAAATGGGTTTTCCTGAGTTCTGTGAGTCATTCTAGCAAAATAATTGAACCCAAGGAGAGTCATGGAAAACTCCGATTTATAGCCAGCTGGCCAGAAGCACAGCTAACAGCCTCAGTTGGAGGAGGTTGTTGGAACCACCAATTTGTAGCCCGACTGGCATCTCATGTGGAGAGCAGTCTTCTGGGACTGGGTCTTCTGGGACTGGGCCTTTTACCTGTGGATTCTGATTCTAACTCTGATTAGACAGTGCATTAACTGAATTGACATCTTGGACACCCTGCAGGTGTAGGAGAATAGCTTGGTGTAAGGAAGCCAACACACACACACACACACACACACACACACACACACACACACGCACGCACTCACGCACGCGCACACACACGCCTGGGGAGGGTCCCACTCAGCCAGCGATGTGTCCAGCAGAATGAGATATAGATGGGCCTGCAAAAGTGACTTCACTTTTTTCTAAGTGGTTGCCGCTTCTTTTTCAAAGATCCCTCTTGCCCTGCTTGAATCCTCCTGCCTCCTGGATTGAAAAAAAAAAAAAAATCATAAAGATCCCCAGTCTCTCAATGGCTCCTGCCTCTTGACAGACTTTGATCCAGAGCTGGTCCCCACATCCCTAATCCCTCCATGGGACCATGGAACAGAAGCCGACACAAGAGCGTTCCCCTGGGGCGCATCCTCCTTCACTGCAGCGAGCTAAATAAACCTGCTTTTTATTACAGATGCGTTTCTGGAGGTCAGTGAGCTTTAACAACCTTAACCAATTTCTTTTGCTTAAATTTTTGTTTTTATGTGTAGGAAGAGGGATGTGTAATAAAAACCTATGCCAAAATACAGTAAGTCTAACAGAGCTCTTTTAATAACTATAAAATACCTTTCCAAGAGATAAGAACTCATATAGTCGGAGTCTGGCAGCGTTTTTTCCTTACGGGTACGCGGAACAATGGTTCACCTTGCACTCCGTCGTGTCCTAGGTTTGATAAAATGCAGTTAGTTGCAAAAGTAGGACTCGTCTCCGGCATTGTGGTGTCCCCTGTCCTCACTCCTTCCACTGCGGTAACCCCACGCCCCTCAGTGAGCCCCAGGTAGTTGTCAAATGAACGAAAGGGTAGATACTAGCGCCAACATTTGCCCGAAGAATTTGAGAGCAAGGGACTCACAAGTGCCGCAGCGATTCTGTCCCACTGTGAGGCGGGGCTCTTTGCTGTCACACCTGCGGCTGGGCGAGCCCTGTCTGTGCCAAGCATCTGAAGAGAACTATGGACTGTCTTAGATGGACTCATTACGAGTTCCCATACACTGGGAACATAGCCAGTGCTATGTGAGCACTTGTGGAAGGAATTGGAATCTAAATTGTTGAGATAAGCCCATGTGGAGGAGAGTGGATACAGACTGGCCTTGGGATATGAGATTCCTAAAACTGGAAGGGTGGGCTGGAGACAGAAGTGGAAATGAATTGCCTTTGTTTCAGCATTAAGTTGTTCAAGGCCAGTCTTCATAATGTCCCCTAGGCCCGAGCCCCCTGCTGGGATGGAGCATTTCCTTTGCCTGCACCTTTTCCTATTGGTGGCATTGCAGGGTCTCAGTGATGAGACAGCACAGGGAACAGGCTGCTGCGGGAAATACGTCTAGACAAAGCTTTAAATGGGGAGAGGGCTGTTTGAAGGCTAAGTGTGAGAGGTGTCTGTGGCTTTACCCACATTGGCATTTTGTAGGTCTACAAAAGCTGTCATACACATAGGCCTACGCTCTTTAGCTCAGTAATCCTATTACCAAGGGTTACCTTAAAATCACCCAAAAGAAGAAAAATGACCCAACAAAGATGTTATAGTAGTTTTCGCTGCTTGAACTTAGTAGATTCCCACTCCTAGGGGAATTTTATTCATTTTCCTGTGGCCTTGAATTAGCAGGAACACCTCTACTATGAAACGTGGCGCAGCACACATTGTTTGTTTGCACATCCCAGGCTCCCAGAGTCTGTGGGCTCCTACAGGGCCGCCCCATTTCTTGTCCAGCCCCAGCACTGGCCCAGAAGCTGTGCTGTAAGTACCAGCTCAATGCCAACCCTTCAGGGCTCTTGTTCAAACAAAAAGGGGGATTTATCAGCTTATGGACTTCAAGAAAGGGCTGACTGCCCAGTCGTGGGAAGGGCAGGGATACAGGCAGGCTTTAGGAACAGCTGGCCCAGGATGCTAATGCCACCAGGGCGGTCTTTCCATTGTTTTTTTTTTTTTTTTTTTTTTTTAAGGGAGGGAAAGAAACATCAATGTGTGAGAGTTACATCAATCGGTTGCCTCTTGCACACCCCCAACTGGGGACCTGGCCCACAACCCAGGCATGTGCCCTGGCTGGGAATCGAGTGGTGACCTTTGGTCCACAGGTTGGCTCTCAGTCCAGAGTTACACCAGCCAGGGCTCATCCTGGTCTTTGCCTCTTTCTGTGCATCAGCCTTATTCTCTCCTTGTAGATGAGCTTTTCCCACATAACAGGAGATGTGACCACTATTTCCCATAAGTTAGAGTCTAGCTCTGTAAGTGTCAGACCTTGTTTCTTCTCCACTGCCCACGCATGTCTCCGGTGCCAGCACTGTAGGACACACTCATATCATCGAATGACTGCTGGCTCTGCACTTTGGTGTCACAAAGTGAGCTGAATCAACTTAGTGGGCAATAGAATTTCCTGAAGCCATTCCTACTCAGGCCAGCTATTAGCAATTGGAGAGGGAAGTGGCTACGGGCTCTGTAAACCCACACCAGTAAACTACTCCGACTACTAAGCCATCACTGAACTCAGCAGTTGGAAAATGCCAGTGGCCACCCCCCTTCTACTTGCCATGAGGGGAAGAACAGTGGAAAAGAAGGCAGGAAAATCTCAGTCAACAGAGGGCAATAAGAATTTTTGGAATGAATGAATGTAATAGTAAATAACTAGAAATAACTACAATGTCCCAACAAGAAGGATTGGCTGATTAAATGATGGTGTGTTAGCACCAAAAAGAACAGACATCTGGATTTTAACAGCATGGAAAAGCGCTTATGAAATAATGTGTGCAAGCCCACACATATGCACTATGATTATATTGAAGTGAAAAATAATGGTACAGATAAGAAGTAAACATGAAAAAAATGGAAATAAATCTGTTATGATAGCAGAAATATTGGTGAAAATGTTTATAAACACATTCAAAATGTAAGTACGTAAAATTCGTTCAAACGTTAACAATAACAGTGATCTATATTTATATATAGAAAGGAATTCATGAAATTTTAACTGACAATAGACATTACAGGACAGCATATAAAATCCTGATCATGTTAAGAATAATATCAATGTGATTATATATACAAGAAGTTGTAAAAGAATGAATACCAAACTGTTAACATCAGCTAACCCTGATTTATAGCTAACTTGTACATTTTTTAAAAATATTTTATTTATTTATCTTTAGAGAGAGGGGAAGAAAGGGAGAAAGAGGAGACAGAAACATTGGTGTGCGGGAGATACATCCATCGGTCGCCTCACATACCCCCAGTCAGGGAGCTGGCCCACAACCCAGGCATGTGCCTTGACTGGGAATCGAACCGGTGAGCTTTCTGTTGACAGGCCAGCGCTCAACCCACTGAGCACACCAGCCAAGGCTAACTTTTACATTTTAAAGTTTTCTGTATTGCCTGGTATTTTTACTCTTAGAATTTAAAATATAGTTAATTTCTATGAAAGAAAAAAAGATCCTAATGCAGCAGACATTAGACAGATGTCTCACAGAGCAGGAACAGCAAGTGTGTGGCCCAGCAGTTGGGGAGACAGGCTTGTTTCCCCCTCCAGCGGGGCTACTTTCCCTAAACCCACCGTAAAGTGAATGTGCATTTACTACGCCTAACCTATGCACCGTCAGAGCTGAGCCCAGGCTGCCTTAGACGTGCTCAGAACACAGACTGGCCCACAGCCCCACAGCTGAGCAGTTATCCTGAGTTTCATTTCAAGAGTCATTGCCTTCCTCTTCTCAGGAGCTGGAGACACAGATGGGCATTTTATAGACATCATGGGATGTGAAAACACGAAACACAATATCCAGAAACGCTGGCAACACAGCGCACTGCAGAGCATGGGCTGTTTACCCCCGAGATTGCGATCGCGTGGCTGCCTGGGAGCCTGGACTCCCTGCCGCTGTCCAGCATCCCGAGAGAGTGTCGTACTGCGTATCTCTAGCCTGGGGAAAGATCAAAATTCAAAGTAAGGTTTCTACTGCAAGTGTATCGCTTTCACACCATCGTGAAGTCAACCTGCCATAAGTCGGGGGTGGCTGTATTTCACTGCCCCCTCTAATAAGATTAGGTGCCCAGCTCCATTAGCTTTAGGCTTTTCAGTGCCTCTCGTTAGGCAGGGAATATTTCCCATCTCACCGACTTTGGACTTGGCAATGCGTCTTGTTGGCCAATGGAGTGTGAGCAGCTATGAGCCAAGCTGTATCCCAGCTGAGGCTTCATGCACATCTGCATGGTGCGCCTTGTCTGCTTCTGCTTGTGCCACCCGTGTCAGGAGAGCGTGTCCCCAGGAAATGCTGCTGCTTCAGACCTGGTCCTAGAATCAGAGGCACCCAAGTCCAGATGACTCCAGCTGGCCCAGTGAAGGCACAGTCGACCCGCAGACCTGTGAGCAAGAAATAAATGTTTGCTTTTATAAATGACTACGTTCAGGGTTGTTTGTTACACAGCAGTGGCACAGCAAAAAGCTGACTAACACTCCAGATCCTGCATTTCCACCCCCAACCCCATTGTTTCTTCTTTGAAAAAATTTGTATATGGGTGAGGGTGGCACTAGGGGACCAACCCTCCTAATTTGCCCAAGTGATTGAGGGGCTTCCTGAGACATGGGACTTTCAGGCGTTCAAAAATAGGTTTCTTGAGATAATTTACGTTCCATACAATTTTCTCACTTAAAGTGTATTTGTAGGGCTGCACAACCATCACTACAGTCTAATGGTGGCACACGTTCATCCTTCCTAAAAGAAACCCCATACCCATTGGCGGTCACTCCCCATTGTCCCCACCCTCTCCCACAGCAACCACTAATCCACTCTCTGTCCCTATACATTTACGTATTCTGAACATCTCATATAAATGGAATCCTATGGTATGGCCTTTTAAAAATATTCTTCTTCTTCTTTTATTGTTCAAAAACATTTGTCTCCATGTTCTCGCCACCACTGTCCCCTGCCCCACCCACCCCCACCTCCCTCCCTCAATCCTTCCCCACTTTGGCTTTGTCCGTGGGTCCTTTATACATGTTCCTTGATTGATTTATCTATTTATTTAATTGTTCAAATACATTTGTTTCCGTTTTCCCACCAAAAAACATGGAACGCTTCATGAATTCCCATGCCATCCTTGCGCAGGGGCCACGCTAATCTTCTCTGGATCGTTCCAATTGGAGTGTGTGTGCTGCCGAAGCGAGCACCAGTATGGCCTTTTGTGACTGGCTTCTCTTAATTAGCATAATGTTTCCCAGGTCCATCCTTATTATAGGTTTAAGTACCTCATTTCTTTTTATCGCTGGACAATATCCAGTTGTATGTATGCACCAAATTTTATTTATTCATTCATCAGTGATGGACACTTGGGTTGTTTCCACCTTTTGGCTACTTTGGATAGTGCTGCTATGAACATTTATGTACAAGTCTTGTTTGGGCATCTGTTTTCCATTATTTTGGGTCTATGCCTCAGAGTGGAACTGCTGAGCGCTATCGTAATTCTATGTTTAACTGATTGAGGGGCTGCCAAACTGTGTTGCACAGCTGCTGCGCTGTACATTCCCACCGGCAGTGGGAGAGGGATCCAACTTCTCCACATCCTTGCCAACACTTGTTATTGTCCATCTTTTCTATTATAGCCGTTCTAGTGGGTGCCCAGTGATATCTCATAGTGGTTTTGATTTGCATTCTCCTAATGACTAACGATATTGAACATCTTTTCATGTGTTCTTTCACCATTTGTAGATTTTCTTTGGAAAAACATCTATTCAGTATTTGCTCATTTTTATTTATTTTTATTTTTAAAAATTTTATTTATTGATTTTTACAGAGAGAGAGGAGGAGAGAGAGAAAAAGAGAGAAGGGGGGGCATAGATTTGCTATTCCGCCTATTTATGCATTCACTGGTTGATTCTTGTTAAGTGCCTGACCAGGGATCGAACCCACCACCTTGGTGTATTAGGACAATGCTCTAACCAACTGAGCTACCTCGCCAGGTGCTCATTTTTAAATTAGGTTATTAGTCTTTGTATTGTTGAATTTAAGAGTCCATTATATATTCTAGATACTAGACTCTTATCCCATGTATGATTTGTAAATATTTTCTCCTATTCTGTGGGTTGTCTCTTTGCTCTCTTAATGGTGTCATTTGCAGCACAAAAGTTTTATATTTTGAGTATAGCCTAATTTGTCTATTTTTCTTTGTTCACTTGTGCTTTAGGTTGTGACTCTATCAGCCTCCCTGTTCCCGGCAGACATCTCGAAGGGGTTGTGGCATTCTTTCTCTCTGAGCCTGGATGCCACCTACGTTGAGATTTTCCTCAGCACTGTGCTGTAGGCATTGTAGCCGTTAAAAAGCCCCAGCTCTGGAGGCAAACTGTAGGGGTTCAAATCCCCACCTGTGCTACCACTTAATGGTGATGTTTTCTTTACCTCAGGGTTGCTTAGCGGATGAACAAAACGTTGGGTGCAGGTGAGAGAAATCGTGACTGGGGATGGAGGAGGAAGAAAATGAATGCAGCTTATTCCATGAATCAATCACCTTGGAACGGATTGGACTTAATAGCGGACCTGAGCAGATCGGAGGGTGCAAGAAGTAGACGGAATCTCCTACGCATCGTCGCTTTGGGGCTTCTCTAATGCCGCAGCGTGGGACACTCGTGGGAACCTACTCAGCATGAACACATGTGCCTCCTAGAAGTGGGTGGAACCGATGCCAATGGGGCCGTGATTGACCAATAGGGGCAGGAGCTAATGAAGAAAGGCTTATGGATTTTGTCCCCCACTTTGTTTCCCCTAAGGACACCAGAAGAAGAGGTAAAAGGTGCCGAACAAGTATAAACAGCAGCTGTCCACTTGAAGGGGGAACTCAAGAGTTAAACATTTTTAGCTTTAGCTTATGGTTAATAGGCTTAGTGATTAATGCTTGTAGAAAGCTGTTGTTCCAGGAACTGGAATGCATGACTGGACCTACCCTGACTCCAGGAGGCCTGCCCGTGATCCAGATGGTATCTGGGCCATTGCGCTCCAGGGAGGACATGTCCAGAGGCAGATAAGGAATCGGGGGTCAGCAGATGAAGGGAAGCTAGGAAACTCACCAGGCTGCAGCTTTGATCTGAGTTAACCTTTTCCCCTTAATCCCAAACTCCTTACCTCCTTTTTTTCCTGAATTCTAAACCCCTTACCGACCCTTTTCTTCTCCTTATAAAAAACGTCAGCCTGAGATGAAATGTTAAGGCAATTTTTAGGGTACATAACCCGCCATCTTCTCTGGTCACTGGCGTCTGAATAATGCACCTGCAAAGATTCAATCCTTGTCTCTACTTACTGGTTCTGGTAGTGACAGACAGCATGAACTCTGACTTTTTTGGTTTCACACTTTTTCTACTAAATCAGGATCTTTAGAGGGATTTCAGGAGTCTATGTTTGTAACAAGTCCTGTAGGTTATTTCTATGTACACTTAAAAGTTTGCAAAAACGCTGGACTGGGGCACTTTCAGAAGGAATTTCCACTGTAGGAGAAGCCGAGATTACAGAGCTGGCTCACCTGAACATCCTCCGGTATCGCACAGACAAACACTGTATGACTTCCACCTTCTCTCCATCTTCATGGATGCTCTTTCTCTTCTGACTGGCTCGCTGGTCCTCAGGTTCACCCTACATATGTACATGGACTTCCTTCTTAGTCTCTGAGTGAGACAACTTCTCTCTTAAGGAAGAGTCCACCCCTTTCCATGAGAAAAGATTTTGCTTCTGGGTTCCTTCCTGCATCCTGTTATCCAAAGTCGGGTCCGGGGCTTCAGCCGGAAGCACGCTGACATTCCCTTCCTGCCAGCCCAGCAAACGCCAGGTGACGAATGGCCTTAGGGCTGAGTGTGGTGGACCCACCAATTTTAACTCAGTTGGGAGAGTGAAGGCTGTGGGACCTGCTGGTTCCCTTCTTAGGCTTCTTTTTAAGTAAGCACCTCTTTCAAAAACCACAAAGGAGGCTCTGGAAGCAGTAAGTATAATGTGTGTCTACAGAGACGTTTCCCTCCCTGACCGGTGGGGGCTCAGTTCCTTGGGCGTCATCATGCAAACTGAAAGGTCGCTGGTTCGATTTGCGGTCAGGGCACAGGCCTGGGTTGCGGCTCCTGTCCTTGGTTGCGGTGCATGCAAGATGCAACGGATCAATGTTTCTCTCCCTCTCTTCCTCCCTCCTTTCCTCATCTCTAAAAATAAATAATAAAATCTTTTAAAAAATAAAAAGATTTCCTCTCTCTTTGCATGGCTTTCCGCTCACCTTTCCAGATAGCACTATTCCTTGCTGTCCTGCCTGGGTCTTGCGGGCACCATAAATGCACGCTTACTTTTAATGACTGCTTCTTTTATTACCCAGAAGTAGTATTAGTCTTCATTAAATTCTTTTGATTTAGAGTCTCCCTCTGATCAATTTGATAATGGTAGGGTTGAGGGATTTGGTAATTCTTGTTTTAAACAGTTCAACATGTCGTGGATCTGGGCAGAGGGATGGGCTCCCCAGTTTCTACCCATGAGGGCCAGGCCTCCTATATCTGGCTGTGTCTTTCCCTTGCTTAAAGCCTGTCCAAGGTTCCCAGTTACCCCAGAATGCAGTCCAAGCTTTGTAGTCTCACAGTGAGGCCTTTCGTGATGGAGCCCCTGCTTGTCTCGTATGTTGTTTCCAACTCTTCAATTGCAGATGATGGAGACCAAATGCAAAGTAAGTCAAGCGAAAAAAAAGGAGTTGTTGACCCACGATTTGAAAAGTCCTGAGCTACACTGGCTTCAGGCACAGCTATGTTCAGCGGCACATGGGGTATATCCAGGACGGTCATTTCTTCCCAGCTCCGGGCTCGGTCTCCTGCCTCGTCTTCATTTTCAGGCACAACCCACAGAATGATGGCAAAGGCGAACACCACAGCGATCTCAGGTTTGTTATTCGGTAGTTCAGCAAGCTCAGTGGAGAGTGACTGTAACTTGCCCAACAAATTCCAGAGAAGTTCAGAGGGTGCCTCTTATTAGTGAGGCTAGGTCACGTGCCTGTCCTTGAAACATCATTGTGATTCTTGGGGTGTGGGGTCACCCCATTTAAACTGCTTTTTAAAAAACTGATTTTATAGAGAGAGGAATGGGGAGGGGAGAGAGAGATCAATTTGTTCTTCCACTCATTGATGCGCCAATTCGTTGATTCTTGTATGTGCCATGATTGAGAACCAAACCTTCAACCTTGTGTATTGGGAGTATCAGACAATGGTCTAACCAACTGAGCTACCGGGACAGGGCTCAACTACTTTTTTGAGAGTGATGTATGGGAGTTCCCAAAGGATATCTGGGATGGGATTATTATAGAAGAAGGATGTGGCATCACCATCACCTAGCAAATAGCTACATCCCTCTTCTTCCTTGCTAACAGAGTTCAAATTTGGTAGGACAGCAATGTGCTGAGGGAAGGAGAGCCCCTCGTTCAGCCTCAGGGAACGGGTCATGACTGGTTGAACCCAAGCACCAGAACCCCACTCCTCTTGCGGGGTTTGGTTTGTGGGTCTGCGCGCAACCTGGCTCTAGCTGGTGAGAATCTAAGGTGCTGTCTGCTAGAGGGCCCCTGGGGAAGGCTTTCCTCCCTGAGAAAACGAGGGAGATCACCATGGAAAAGCCTCTTCCCGCCTCTTTCCTTTTTTAGATATTGTCACGTGAAGATGAGAAGGTTAAGATGTGGTGGCTGTCTTGATTCATGAAAGGAAAATGTTCTTGAACACATCTCCTGGTGGACGCATGCATTTATTTTTGTTGGACATTTGTCTATCCATCCATGGCCAGGCCATAGGGTACAGGTATATTTAATTTTACTGGGGCTGTCTAAATGTTTTTTCCAAAGTGGTTGTACTAATTTACACTTTCACAGCAACATAAGAGGGTTCCAGTTGTCCACATCCTCAGCAACACCTTTTACCGTTAGTCGTTTTAATCTGAGCTGTTCTGGCGAGTGTGCAGTGGTATCTCATTGGGCTTTTATTTCCATTTCTCTGGTGACTAATGATGAAGAACACATTATAAAACTATTTCTTGGCCAGTTAATATCCTTGTGTTTGGATGAACTTGTTCAGGTCTTTTGCCCATTTTCAGTGAGTTGTCTTCTCAGTGGGCGTTCACAGGGAGCAAAACACCTTCACAGGCCCTGCTGCTTCAGAGAGGTCCAACCACCTATTGC